TTTTGAGAGAAATAATAAATCAGAAGGAAAGAGGGTTATTGTGGTTATTTTTTTTTAACCGCGCCCGCTCGCGCTGCCATAAAAAGGGGGGAGAGGAGGCCAGGTGCTGTTATCTTTATCTTGAAACAAGCAATCAAAGCCAAGAGGTGTGAGAACCGGGGCAAGGCGCGAAGAGTTTCAAGCAGGAAAGAAAAGCTAGAAGGGGGGAATTTGGGCTTAAAAGGACAAGGGTTTGCTTTGTAGAATTAGACTCAACAAACTATGATGTTGTACACTTCTCCTGAATAAAGAAATCTTTGATGGAACTCTTTGGACTCCAGAGGATTTACTGAACTTTGGGACTGAGTGTGTAGAGTCTGACATTTTGTTGAGTCTCACCATTTTGCGAGGGATTTACCCGGGGAACCAACCACCGTGGAAAACCCCCTCGAAAAACCTACCGCGGCTGCGGAGATGGAGGAAGAATGCCCTGTGGCCGGGGCTGTAGGGGGAATCGAGGAGGAAGAGACCCTAACAGGTACCTAGCCTACCCTCCCGCCGCCGCAGAAACCCGACCGGCACCTGACGAAGTTGTAGAGCATGGAAGAGCTGGCTGGGGGAATGTCATTCCTGGACATGGCTCCCGAGAAGCGCTGGGCCCTGGTGACAGGGAGAGTTGAATCCACGCGGAGGGACACCCTAGAGGATTGCATACATCTTCTGCAATCGGAAAACACTTTAATAAAGAGAGAGCTGATGAAGATGAGCGAAATCGTTCGTCGTTCAGGTCTGTACCAGAGCCCGGGAATAAAGGGGGAGGGCAAAGAAGAAGGCCTGGAGGAATCGCTATTAGCCCCCCCAACCACACCCGCAATGGCAACCCCCGTAGCTCCAGCAGCACAGGGGCCTCTGGCCGCCCCAGTTGCGCCACCTGCGCCCGTCCCGGGGGTTCAGCAGAGGGTCGCCCCAATCCAAGCCCAGCAAGATGCCCTCTTAAAGCGCTGGGGATTGACCGAGAAATTCAGCAGGGACCCAAGTGAAGTACCTAATTCCACGGCTCAAATCACCATATGCATGGAGCAGACGGGCCATTTATTCGCATCCGACCGGGAGTGCGTACTCTACATTTGCAGGGTGTTTACTGGGAAAGCGGGGGAGTGGCTGATCCAACTCCAAGCAGCACAAGCGCCCGAACTAAACCACCTGGGTGGATTTTTAACCACTCTTCGCAGAAGATTTGAGGACCCTGGAGTAGTCACCAGAGCCCGGGCGCAGCTAGGCAAGATGCAGCAGGGAAACCGTAGCCTCGGCGAGCACGCCTTAGAATTCTGCGGCATTGTGGGACTGCTTCCCGATTGGCCAGAGCAGTTCAAAATCGACTGTTTCCAGCAAGGGATGCACCGCGACCTGTGGAAGTTAGCGTTCGCCCAAGGAGACCCGAATTCCCTAGATGGATGGATCCAACATGCGGGCAACGTCGAAGCCCAGTGGAAAAGAGTAGACCCGGACTTCGAGCGGAAACCCAGTAACCTGGCACCGGCATCCCGGAAGTCACCATCGAGAGGAGGAGACGAGAGATTTCCTAGAGCGGTAAAACGCGTTTGTTTCCGCTGAGGTGAGCCCGGTCATTTCGCGCCCTCCTGTCCTAAACCACCGACCGCACGGGGGGGAGCCTAAAAAGCCCGCTGGAGCACCACAAAAACCCGGCGCAAAAGGCAAAAGAGGAACCGCGGCGGCAGGAACAGAATCGCTGTTCCCAGACCTCGTCATTTACGAAGACGGATCAGTCAGAAAGGAACAGGAGGCAACCGTGGATTCCAACAAAACCGCTCGCCAAACCAAGCCTGAAACGGACGAGGAGGACGACTCGGATGAGGATGAGGCGGTGAGTGTTACCACCCTTAAAGTGACTATCTCGGCACCCAGAACGGAACATAAAGCCACGCTAACTGCGCTAATGGATACCGGTTGCTCGTGCTGTTTGATCAGTCCCATACTGGTTAACGCACTGGAGCTAAGATTGAAAAAAATTAAGACTCCCATAGTTTTCACCCAGCTGGATAAGTCCAAAGCAGGGGGATGGGCTGTGCTGTATTGCACTGAGCCTTTTGAGCTACAAGTAGGGACTCACCGAGAGACTCTTAAATGCTTAGTGGCTCCTTTGGGAAATTACGCTCTAATCCTTGGAGCAAACTGGGTGAAACGGTGGGACCCCCGAGTTTTTTGGAAGACGGGACAAATGCAGTTCGCAGATGGAATTTATTTGGGGGCTGAGGAGACAGGAAAAATAAAAACCGCAATGGCTGCAACTGCTAGC